TATTTTAAACATTTTTTAAGATACATCATTAATGATAAAAAATTAATTCTAAAGACCTTTCAAAAAACCCTGTAAAACTGATAATTTCATTCAAATTTAGTAAAACAAAAATTAGTACAATAAAACGTCTCTCTGTTAACGTTAGAATGCTTGATTTTTCCAACTAAAACTATAAATATAAATATAACACTTTTCCAAATATGATTTGTTTGAAGGCATTCGTCAAACAATTAGCATAAGATATTGGAAAAATAGCGCAATATGAAGTAAACTTAACAACAGAGAGAAAAAATTAATGAGTGAAAGGAGCTCAAAATGAATTAGATAGAATAAAATATTTAAGTCGTGCATATTAATAAATTATCAAAATTATAGGGGAATACAATTTAATAACTGCTCATAATAAACCTTGTGTTGAAAATTTATAACTCTAAAGAAAGACTATGATGACATTAAAATAATAATAAGATAGCTCGGATCATAAGGAAAAATGGAGCTTGAGAAACAGTATGAAAACTTAACACTTGACTAGTAAACGTAGCCAAGGAATTGAAACCTGAGCTGTAACTAATCGACTTGAGAGCACCCAGACACACATCAAGCAATGAGAATTTAAATATAAATTCTTAGAGATTGAGAGAAGTAATAAAAAAGGATTTTATAAATTCATTGAATACACTACTTAGATTAAGAATGAATAAGAGGGGAGTATAATAAATATCGTCGAAGAAAATCATAGATACAAGAAATAATACACCTCTTAAATTACCATTCTAAAAATTTCCTAGAATCCTAATTTAGATGCTTAAGGAGCTTTATTTTTGAAAGGAGAGTTTGTTGATTAGAAAGGATATGATTTACTATCATTAGTTTAATTTTTAGAGAAATAGAAACAAAATTGATGTTTATTAAAAGACCATTTAAAAATATACAATATTAATTTTAAGATTTGGTTATTAATTGTGAATGTTGATTAAACTAATGGTTCTGATCATTATTCTATTTTATAAAATATAAAAATAATATCTATACATTTAACCTTTTAGAAATCATATTTATATCTGTCAAAAGTGAAGGTAGTTTTAAACGTAAACTTGATTAAGTTAAAACATTGCTTTTAAAAAAATCTAATTTAGAAAAATGTTTTACTCTTTAGACTTGACATAAATCCTAAAGTTTAACCTTTTGTGAAAGTAAGTATTTTGATTTTGTGAGATTTCCCTTTTAAATATACATCAATTCTAAAATCTACAAACATTTATATATCTTCCAACCAATTTGTGGTTTGGATTATAAAACTCAAAATAAAGTAATAGAAATTCAATATAATTTATAACAAAAGTAAATGACTTTGGAAAAATAATAGGTCGGAGATTTGTATGGAGTTTCGGCTTAAACTAAAGATAATGATCACATAGTCTTACAAATCTTAATTAAAATTTTCGAAAAAGAAAATTTTTAGTTCATCTAACTGCTTTGGATAGGAGATATATTTAGTGTGGATCAAATTCTCTTCATTTGCTAGTTTGGATGAAAATTGATTTTAGGGAATAAAATTTTGAGAATATCAGGATTAGAGATACCTCATTAGTTGGGGGAAATTTGTAAGATGCATATTCAATGGATCAGAATTTGACAATGTAGATATAAGTGGAATGAACTTGAATTAATCTTAAATGGTTAGTTGTAAATGGAAAAATATCAAAATTCATGAGTTAAATATATTAGATGCTCATGAGGAAATTATCAATTAGGAATGCTTATCTCCAGATGGTTAGTCATTAGCTTCTTGTAGTGAGAATAATTTGATTATATTGTTGGATGTTAAAACAGGAAAAATTAAGTCTAGAATCAAGGAAAAGGAAAAAGTAAAATCAGTATGCTTCTCACCAAATAATAATACATTAATTTTCAGCAAAGGAGAATTTGTGTATTTATGGAATCTTTAAACAGGCAAATAACAAGCCAAATTAGATGGTCATTCAAGTAATGTTATTTCAATTTGTTACTCTCCTGATAGTACTACATTAGCATCTGGTAGTTCAGATAAATCTCTATCCGTTTATGGGATGTCAAGACAGGATAATAAAAAGCCAAATTAGATGGTCATTCATGTGCAGTTAATTCAATTTGTTATTCTCCTGATGGAAATACATTAGCATCTGGTAGTTGGGATTATTCAATCCGTTTATGGGATGTTAAAATAGGATAATAAAAAGCCAATTAGATGGTCATTCATCAACAGTTTATTCAGTCAATTTCTCCCCTGATGGAAATACATTAGTTTCTGGTAGTGATGATCACTCTATTCGACTTTGGAATGTACAAACATCAAAGGAAATACTTCAATCAAATAGTAGCTATAAAGATTTGCTTGCCTAGTTTAACACACCTCTTCAGAATAACTCCTTATTGCCAAATTGTATGTATTATTAATTATTTTTAGTTAATCCTTATTGTACTATACTTGTAATCTGTTAGAATCCTTGGTTAGAAGCATCAGGAACACTTATCTTATAAGGACAATTCATTAATTATTAAGGGATAGATTTAAAACCATTGTTTAAATCCAAAGGAAATTGTTTTTTAGAGAACTTATAGTAAAAGTGAATTTGAATATTCATTAAAAACATTACAATTATAATTTTAATCATTTTCTTATAACTTTTTGAATAATATGTGTTTTTTATTAGTATTTAATTATTTGAATAATATTGAGATGTTAGAAACAACTTTTATAAATTAATATTTATAGACGTATACACTATTAAATTTATAATATAAACAGAGTAAACAGGTTTAGTCGTAATAAAGATTATTAATAGTTTAGTAAAATTTAGATCTTTAGTTTAGAAAAAGGTAATGATACAAT